GTAAACGTCACGAAAGTTTAGAAACTTGTCGTTTATGCTGGAAACTATGGCGCGTTATACACATCCCTGTGATATGCGTTAGAATGTCATTAGGTAAATCACAAGTGGATAAAACGACGTCAAATACGTACAAATACTTGTAGAAATTTCTTATTTATGATAATTTGTTTAGGAGTTCAGTGTAAGCTCGCCACGCATCCTCTTGAAATATAATAGTTTATTTTGAGAGTTAGTTGATTTAAAAGTACATTTAGTAAGACTACTATATTTTTATTAACCACTGAAATTAAATATTATAAAAGAAAGAAATCTTAACACTTAACTGTTGACCAGCGATTTTACACAGAGACTATGTCATGTCAGCGGGTATTATTTTGTAATCCAATCTTCGAAATCACTTTCACACGTAATATTCTATATCGTCCTGGGTTTCATAAATTTAACTAGATAATGCAAGTGCAATGACGTATTAACTCGTCACCGGTCAACAGTGTGTTAATAAGTATCTGCAAGTACATGTATATGTATACGCTCTTGGAATTCAATGTGCTATATTCCAACGAAACTCATTCATTCCTAACATCACTCTCAACCTAACCCAGTACTACTATACTAACAAAACAGTAGCCTGAATATCTCATACCAATCATATCATTACTCTCTCATACCTGAAAACACCACGTAACACACAACACGATGCACGCCAAAGTTGATATCATGAAGCGTAGTACGTGCATCTCAGGATCGAAAACATGGAGCAAAAGGTCCGTCAGATTAGCGGAGAAGCTTATTTGGCTGATTTATCTTGGAAAGTGTCCTCGCGACAGCGCAAGTTGACGGAAAGTATACAGAGATCCGGGACAGGTGGAACTAGTCCAGGACTCTCGGATGCAGATATCAAACCCCCCGCCTGTAAATCTGCCAGAGACCGGTGTGAAACGGTGGGTGGTTGGATTAGGAGGTAGAGGTCGAGGACTGGTCGACCACCTAGTCGGAAGCGCGCCATGAACTATTGCATTTGATATCCAGTCCGATGAATGGAAACGGTGAAGCCATATCCACGCTTGGCGCCATCTCTGGCCACGATGTACGCGAATGTAGGTATAATACCCCTCCGTGCTTCCGCCAAGTATGATAACCAAGTATTTACGGCTTCTCTTGCGAATTTCTGTAATTTACTGAGACAACCGGCCGCGAGCGTCCAGAACTATGTGTCATTGTTATTTTTAATGCTCCCTACTTCCACCTTCTTTCTTCCTCGCAATTTTCACTCGTGGTATGCGCCGTCGCTATTGAAATTAGCAGGCGAGAAATATGCTCCTAGAAGTCATCCCGCTTCGTTTCATGGCATTCCGAGAAAGACGTTATGAAAACGTTACTTTGAGTGATAAATTTAAAAGACTTGGATGTGGGATGATAGATGTATCGTAGGATTAATGCCAGATAAATCCTCTGCAGACAGAGATCTGCTCGTTTAATAAACAACGACTCTTTTTTGATAACAAACAGATTTATTTAAACTAAAATATTACACTATCCTATCCTAATTTAATTTAAGTCTTTTCATATGCAAGCTTTCTTCGTTAATCTCTCGTTTTTCACGCGACCTCGCCCTCGGTGGGTCAGGTACTTCAGACATTAGGACGCGTTCCTAGACTTTCGTTCATTGCTTGCACTCGACTCAGTCATAAATATCTCATCCATACATTTATAATTTGTTTTTCTAAAATAAGATCCCGAATCTGCATTGGCCGATTCGCGATTTCTTTCCACGAAATAGCATCCTACAATATTGATATAACAATAGGTTCTGTATTACTCTCTAATCTTTGACTTCAAATGGAAAATACATAATAATTTCTGTCTATTACAAGAATAACAATATGGTAGCATTTCTACAGACACGTGAACAATGCATTTAAATATGTATAGAGAGTCATGAATAATTCTACAGCATTGAACAATTTCATGTAGGAATATAATACATTGATTTCTTGATTACAAATAGTAGAGATATACGAATTAAAAACAGGAAATGAATTGCTTCGTTTATTACTATAGTTTCAACTATGATTTGACAAAGTTAAAAAACATAAAGCTTGTGACAATAAATTAGTAAAATTTATAATTCATCTAAACAAATAAATCATTTAAAATCGCCAATTTTCCTGTTTATCTAAAATTAATATTTCAATTGTCAGTGGTAATTCGTATCACATTAAATAATTCAAATTTCCTTGAAAGGTTCTTTGTTCTCTAACGCGAAAACAGTTCAGCATTCAATTCGTGGAATACATTTTGTGGGAATAATGAAGTAGCATATATTAAGCCAACGAGAAGTTCTTTCTTTCAATGAACATATCAGAGAACATGGCGTATTCGTCATTATTGTAGGAAGTAATATCGAATCAGAAAGGTAACTACGTATGTCAGTTAAGCTTCCTCGTGCATTGAATTCCATCAACGAAATTAATACCCATTTGATACTAGCATTGAAATATCGACATGCATCAATTACGTGCATGTCGAGTGTAGTATTAATAGCATTGCTATCCCTTCTATGTGTTTCTTTTATTTTCGAGAAGGAATTTAGAAGGAAAAACACGATATTACCGGTCATGTACACCAGGTACGCGATAGGAAGACAACGTTTGACGACCATATGCGCCAAGTACCTAACGTAAGAGTCAGTAATTCATTTGATCTCTTTCTGTACGAAAACTGTTTCAAAATAGTTATTCCGGCTCTTGCACTTACCCAAGTTAACCAATAAAAAAATATTTAGCCCCACCAAGATTCCTCGTGGACTCGAAACGTGTTTCATCGGGGAGGTTAGATACAGATCGACTCTCGCGCGGTAAATACTCTCTCTCGGCATCAAGGTGTCGACCCTATCACGGAAACTACTTATCCCCGAGTAAACACCATCGTTAGCCGAAGAAAGGAACGCGGAGCATCCGAGGGCAGTATACTTCCGCAGCCCGTGCCATAAGTGAAACAGTCAGCGCTACGTCACTCTAAAAATTAAAGGACCAAGAGGTATTTCGTCGTTGAACGTTCTATATACCTACATAAATGTTTACCCGATGAAACAGCAATTCCATTATCCTTCGCCTTTGAAGACGGATACACGCGCCATGAACGAAAATATCACCGGCCTCAATGGTAAAGCGTGTGTGCACATGAGCGTGGAAAATACGTGATCACATGCCGGTAATCACGGTACAAAGAGGTGAGCCGGAAACGCAGCTACGCATGCGGACTTGGATGCTGAATAGTCTTCCGTGCCTTGTTCCTTTTTCACAAGCATATCACATTTTCTTAACAGCTTGATTTACTGCCAGCCAACGGGGACTACCCTTTCGTGGCTGCGTGCTCGCGGCCCTTTCGCGTTTCTATTTCCCGCCCTTCTTCTTCTTGTCGTTTCTTTGTCAACCGGTGCCAAACTGTAGCCAACAGGCAGAATGTTTACCTTCCTTCCCTCCTGTCACGTTTTTCCACGTGGTTAGAGTGTACCGGAAGTTCCTTTGGCGACAGCAACGTTTCCAGGGTCATTCGGAAAGGGCAAGCATTTCTTCCTTCCTCTTCCTTTTTTCCAATTGGAAGCCGTGAAAGTGATATAGTGAATCGGGAATGGGATTTTTAGTACAGGTTATTACCATTCCTAATCTTTTATATTTTTTCTTTTCTTTCTTCTTGTGGGAAATGTTGCTTAGATTAATGGTCTCGGGTTTGTATTGGGTATAGGATATTTGAAATTGCTTTGTGCTGTTTAATTTGCATTTGAAGGTTTAGTAGCGTTCCTTATAATTGTTTAAAGATGTTTCGAAGAGCGATAATAATAATTTCTACGAATATTATATTAAAAACTTTGACTGTTCTATTATGTTCTAGGATATTATAGTTTAATAATTATGCGTATAATTAGAATTGTTAGACACGTGAAAATTATTGCAGACAGTAATTATGTGTATAATTACTGGAATCCAATTATTGTGTAATTTTCTGTATAATTAAATAATAGTTATGTTCTAACGTGAGTTTAACATCTAATATTCTGATGATGTATTAAACGTATTAATGTATGATAATATAATTATCAATAATAATTTTAGATACCAATTTTATGATATTATTTGTAATAAAATAAATAGAGGGTTCAAATTCATGTACTCTATATCATTCAATAATTTCAACAATGATTAAACCTATTCTTTTTTTTTTTTATTCAGTCCACTGACCTGGATTAATTAAAATCGGGGATTTAATCGGTGATGATAGTTTTAATTTCAGTAAAATTATTCTCCCTCATTGGTATGGTACCTATTTTGTCATTGCGGTTTATTCAGATCAAATATTTGTCAACTTCTTGAATTCTCTGGTGAACGAAATAACAGCTCAAATTGCAATTTGATAATTCAATTAGGTGCCTCAGTACGGCGATGCGTCTGTTTGTTAAGCTTTCTTTTTTAAATTATTTTCTTAACGAGAGTTCCGTTGCTATGCCAGACAGTTTGTTATAATGTTTAATACCCTTCTGCTAGGTTAATTTAATTATTTTACAATCTTTCATCATTCGATCGTGTTACAATTTCTCCAACTCTCCTATTCGATTATTTACAAAAGTAAACTTCTTATTTTTCCTATATTTTGAAAACTTTTAGTAATATTAAAATACTACGTCAATTTCTATTAATGATAAATATCTTTTTAATTTTCTATTTTATAATCTTTTTCCTTTCTTAATTGAAGGAATTAAAAATGGTATAGTATAATAATGGTATTTCATAAAATATGAAATAGTTTTATCAGAATCTATACTTTTTTACATTCCAAAGCTTCAAGTTAATCTTGTATCGTGAATTACTTTTCGTTTTAACTTTTCATTCCATTATTATAATTTGTTACGTTCGAAGTATGCGATAGTTTACGTTATTAAATACATATGTATCGTACAGTTTGAATTCGATATTACAACGAAAAATTTTAATTCGTTGCAGGTGGCATGGCTGCGCGTAGATACTCAAACGATATTAACGATAGCGAGTCACATTATCACGAAGAACCACCGAATAACCGTTTCCCACAGCGATCATCATACGTGGCTACTCCACATACGAGAAGTGAAAGAATCTGACAGGGGTTGGTACATGTGTCAAATTAACACGGATCCAATGAAGAGTCAAACTGGCTATCTACAAGTAGTCGGTAAGTAACATCAATTCGAGATAATCTTTTCAGCTTGTATAAATTTTGTACATGATACATCGCGAACAGTTTACATCGCCTCTATTCGATCTCACGTATTTCTCTTTTCAAGCTTCACATTATATATCGCGACCATTTATAAAGCAGGGATTGTAACGGATGATTTCTAGTTTTGTCTTAACAAATGGAGCATTGCAAAATTGCATTTCAATTATGGGAATCTTTGTTTTTATTACTAACGATGAAAAGGTATAAAATGACTTTATGAGGCGAAGTTTTATTCTGAAAAAATTCATCACGTATCTAGGATAATCTTTCCTCGATAATTACCCCTCCTTTCGTTTATTTCTCGCAGTAGTAAGAATTTCAGTAAGGAACAGCAAAAAATATAATATTGCGGTATTTCGATTATCGTATAAAATTTGAAAGATTTAGGAATTTAGAAATACGTCACTGCCATTTATTTCTTTCTCTTTTTCTATTTAAAGTAATACAAATTTCGTTTCATTTTTATTATATAGTAGTTAGGAAATACTATTGTTTTGATTATCATATAAGAATTAAGAAGAATTTAGAAATTATAACACGTTGATAATGCACACAACGATTCCTCAAAATACCCTATAATCACAAACTGCGGAAAATGGACAATGGTTTATTCAGTCTCTCAGATGAGCTTCTCTGAGGGCTTTCATCGATCCTCGGATCGAAAGGAGAGCGTATCATGCACTTATCAGCGGTGTCCGGAACAGCTATTACAACGATTATGTCATGTGAACATTACACAGTGATATGCGGATGTAATTCGCAATATCTTAATCAAGTCTGACAAGACGTGAGAATCTGATTCGGTACCCTATTCCCATCTCTTTACACGAATGATTTGTTGCTCGTATACAAATCGGTTACACTTCGATAATTTATACTATTCTATAATTGAATCCTCGATAATTCCTTCTGATAAGCTCTTAACCTTTCTCTTAATGAGAAGATTCATTTTTAAATTGGAATTGGAACGTGTTGGAAATTTATTTTGGAAAAGTCACAGGTTATAGAAAATTTCAGTTATAGTTCCAGATGTGGAACAAAACTTTATGCTACTAATTCTACTTAAGAAGTCGAAATCTAAAGAATTTTCTAAACCTATGGAAAATTCCAAGTTTCGAGAATTTGAAATATTCTCCTTCCTTTGTGATTTAAAATTATTGGAAGTTAAATAGGAATAGGTGTTCCTTAAAATGACAAAGACGTGTTAAGTATAATTTCAGTCATATGACAAATTAGACTCGTAGAAGAAGGGGTTAATTTTCATGCACGTTATAGAAATTTTATTAAAATTTTGCTAATGACAATTAGAAAATTTAATCTTATGTTATAAACATTTTTAAATTTAACGATATCTGTTAAATATACAGTAAACTATATCAAGTGTCAAAATTCGTTGTTATTTCAAGTGAATACAAATTTTCATCCTTACAATTACGTTATTTCGCGGAAACCTAACTATTCCTAGAGTATGTCGTTAAGATAAGAGGATAAAAAAATACTGGAATAATTTATTGACTGTTTAATTTGTTATTGATTCATATGTGTCGCGTATGTAGAAATAAATGAAACAGAAAAATGCGTGGAACAGTAGTGAATGTATAAAGTTCATAGTAATTTGAACATAAAAGGGGAGTTCATCGGATGCATATGGATAACTTCGAGAAATAAATGTTATTGACCGTTGAAAGTAACGCACTTGTCTTAATTGAACCAGTTGGAATGTTGGTCACGTCAGCTTTACGTCTGAAAACATTTTACCAATGAGCAAGGTGTTTACTTAGTAGGCGGTAAACTAATCAAAATTTAACGATTCCTGTTGGCCTCTTTGAAGTTTTGCAATTTGTAATATTTCAGCTTGTAATATTTCAGCCTTTGAACGTTTCAAAATGATCAAGCACGATGTCATCGAATATCGATATAATTCCAATATTTATCTTTGTTCCAATACGAACATGAGAAGTAAGCAACGAGTGAATAACAAATAAAATAACAACTCTGTTGCGAAATTTACAAATTTATTAAATAGTAAAATATTGAGAAAATTTCGAGAATACAAAGGGTCAAATTTTCTGCATCGAAACACCGACGTCGAATATTAAAAGTAAGGAGTAAACAACTTGGAAGTGAAAAAGCCAAAGGTTGAACAATTCGATTCGATAACAGACAAAATTCCAAAGTAGAGGTTATAGATACAATAAAATTTTACAATTCTTTCATTCGAAATGTTGCAAATGGTTTCTCATGGTGTACATGCACATCCATGCCACGTAATAAGTAAAAACGATCGAACCTATTGTACCTTACATCGAACTTTCGCAAATTGGATACACGACTTTGGTCTTTCTCTTGACTTTTAACATAGCAACGCATGTAGAATATTATAACACGGTCCGTGAATCCAGTTAAGTTAAACGAGCCTCGTCTTAACACGCTATCGCAATACCCAATATCGTCGACCTAATTTATAAAACATTGAAAATAAAATATTAAAGGATTGAAAAATTCAATTCAACGACAGCTAGAATTTCACTGAACAGATTAAAAACATAATTCATATTTCCAATTTAAGCATTCCAAGTGTTACAGACGATTTACCGTTGTGCCACATACAGGGTATCCTCGAAAGATAGGTGAACCGAGCAGTAGGTGATTTCTTATTGTAAAAAAATTATGACAAAATGTGAAAAAAATTACAGAATGATTTTCTTTCGTTTGGATCTTAGTTTTCGAGAAAATCGAATTTGGAAATTTGCTTTTCACACGTGTATTCGCGACTAATAACATATGATTTGTCAATCCACGTGAGGTGAAGAGCAGCACTGAAATTGTATAAATTGAAAAATTGATAGCTTCTTTAAATAATTTTTTCGGAGTTCGAATTACCACAGACCGAATCACAGATTTATAAGCAACGTTCGAGTAGTATTAGAAGAAAGAAGAAAATATTTTGCAAGAGACATTTGACAACTTCAATTATAGAATCATTGAAACTGTCATTTAAGCTAAAGCTAATTGTGAAGAGAACAAAACGAATTTTCAAATTCGATTCTTCCAAACATGAAGTTCAAATAGAAAGAAAAATCATTTTATATATTTTTTTAAATATTTTTGTATGACATCCATCCGTGCAATCATTTCTCGCGCAACACCATGAACAATAGAATTTATTACACCTCGTATCAAACGTTCCCGAGTCATCTATATACATCCTGTTTCCCCGATTTTTCACATAGCAACACGTACAAGGTATTATAACACGATGCATGAATCCAGTTAGGCTAAACGAGCATCGCCTTAATGCCGTATCGCAATAATCGTGCATCGTCGACAAAGATCGGGCTTCAGCAGTTTAAACGGACGTAAAGCCACGCAAAAGACCTTTCGCGTCTACTTAATTTGCAAGGCATTAACCTTATTATTATGGGGCAATATAGTCGCAAGTTTGCGAGAACGCCATATAGAGGGTTGCACGCGAGCGATCTTTACGGCCCTTCTCGGAAATGAAACCTCGTATATGCCCTTTCACCACCACCCCCTCTCCTTTGGCCACCCCCTTCCCGTTCTTTTAATTCTTTTAGCCCTCGTATCGACACCCCTTTCTCGTTTCTCTTTCGTTTCTCTTTCCTTTCTCTTTCTTTTCTCTTTCCTTTCTCTCCTTTTCTCCGTGTTCGCGATCGTGGCGCCCTCTACGCAGCAACTGGCTCGATCAGTGAAAAATGTGTCGACACGTAAAAATGTACAGACATATGGAAAGTTGGCAAACATATGCACGATGCAAGGAAGATTGTTGCTCGTTATACAAAATGTTGTTTCATAGACGGGGTCGTAAACGTGTTCCACGCTATACTGATTTCACCTTTGCTATTCACAACGCGTGCGCAGGTTACGGTGTGCACTGTGTTATGGAGCTAATGGTTGTCGAAAAGAGGGAGTAGCCTACGTGAATATTGCGAGATAGTTTCACGAGAGGAAAAGAGTGGTATCGAATTCATACCCAGGAGATTTTTCATAACACTGTTCAATACGAATTTTCATCTGTAATATCCATTGGGTAATTCTTGCAAAATATTCCCTGAAAACGAATCCGTCATCGAAATGCTCTGTCATCGTCGGATCTCGAAAACTATGAGTTTTTTTAAAAATACACGACTTTTAGTTAAAATGTAGTATCACATAAAAAGAAAGAACGTTAGAAGGATCAGTGGTATCGTGTAAGTTAGGTGAAAGAATCTTGAGTTTATCAATGTCCATTATTATAATTATTTCTATTTATGAATAATTATAATTGGTCTTCAAAATTTAAAAATAAGCTGCACCTTCTATGCACTCTTCTTGCATGTTTACAAGAAATTTTTCATCTGACACGAATTTGCTGCAGTATCGTATTTTGTAGACTTTTCCAAAGAAGAACCTATAGAACAAAGTAGTCGAAATAGTTTTCAGTTTGATTAGATTGAGAAAATATTTGTAGATAATGTGTACACAGGGTTTTACTGCCATGCAACCATTGCTCGATTCCCTAGCGTCGACAGTGCCGTAACTACGCCTAATCAGAATATCAGACGCAAAAGAGCTGGCATTTAGCAGTCTATGAAAAGGAAAATAGAATTTGGCAATAAAATTTCGAAAAATTAACAAAGTTTGAAAGAAACTTTAAAAATTTATAGTAGACAGTATGTATCTTAAACTTGATGTGCAGTTCTTTGTTTGGTATCGTTACCCAGAAATTGCTCTTCGGGACACGATACCAATTACTAGGTCTCACCACGTGGAGGTGGCTACGCACAGAGACCCTGAGCTTAAAGGCCTCGCAATGAACGACCTACTGGCAGCCTTCCGTACCAGAGATACTTCCGTCTAACACAGAGCAAAAGCTATCAGTGTCTTATAAAAGGGAATTTGGTTTGGTATACTTAAAATTAATACTCTACTTCCGCAACTGTAGTTGGTTT